ACATATTGTTGCCCACCATGAGGACAGCTTCACATTGGCAGTGGATGTCATTTGGCTGGTTTAGGGTCGATGAGAATTTCTGTACCTCATCCTGCTAGTTCGGCTGCTGCTCCTGGTGTTTTTCAGATTGGAGACGAGCAGGCAATCATTCTGGCTGGCTCCTTGGTGGTTGGTTCATAGTTTCCGGCCTTTCAAGCCATCAGCAGGCCTTTCCGACTCATCTGAAACCCATGTAGGTTTCAGGCCTTTCAGGTTAGGCCAGCAGGCCTTTCTGACTCATCTGAAACCCATGTAATTTTATGCTGCTCCACATCTTTCAGCAGATCAGTCCAAGAACATTCCTTGATTGGTTGACGCTCTTCTCCGATTTTTGCACCTAAGTTTCTAGCTATGGTCTACTACTAGTTGTATGGCCCACAGGTGGCTGATCTCTTGGTGTCCCACCTGTCTTTCATCTCGGTAACAATATGAAGTCTCTGCATTTATTTCATCTTTACTTGTATTTTTGTTACTTGTCTTTTGTTTTGATTCTGTCAGATTTTTTTTGTCCTGGTTGTTTATTGATCTACATGTTATGCCATTACTGTCACCTTGTATTATTAGGTGCTGGCATAGTTGCTTATTTTTTTTGGTTTCTGTTCTCATCCGACTCTGGTGTGTCCCCGTTTACTTTGTTCTGTGGGGAGATAGTAACAGGAAGCCATCATGGAATCATCCGAGAAAACCAGCATTGAATGCAATGAAACTCCTCTTTCTGGTGGGTTGCAGTGACTCTTTAGACCAGGGGTGGGCAACCTTTTTGAGAGTGCGTGCCAAAATCAGCCAAGTCTCTGACACAAACTTTTTCCACGTGCCAACCATTTTTTTTAGAACATATTTGGTATCTCTTAAGAACTTTTTAAACGAAAAAAATAATAAATTACCTCAGTGCAGTAAAACATAGTATAAAAAAAACAGAATTTTTTTTTTATTTAACCTTCAGAAGTACATTTCAACAGCCTTTAAGCTTTTGTGACTTTAATAGAATACAACAGATAAACTTGTTGACTCCTTTTATATACTGTCAGTGAGACTTCTGCTGCTGCATAACTGATGACAGAGATTTTACATCAGGTTTATATTTAGTAACATTGAGAGATATTCATGCAGCGCTAGTTTCATCTGTCATGCTACTCTTGTTACGAGACTTAACAAAGTTCATAATTGAGAACAAAGATTCGCAAGCATATGTAGACGAAAACATGGTTAGCAATGCTGTTGCAAGGTTTTTTAAACAGACATAATTTTCTGGAATAGTGTTCCAAGTCCTTAATACTTCGTTTTCCGCATTTCTCTTTGTTACTTTCATCTCTAATCTCTCTCTTTCAATATTTTCCAAGTGAACTCTAAGGTCAACAAATTTCTGCTTCCAAATTGAGCTACTCTGAAATTCAATCAACTGCATCTCAAAATCATCCATGTCTATCCATGAAGACATTTGCAAGTTTAGTTCATCCATTTTGATGCTGTCTGGAAACTTGATGAATTTTACTGTCTTCCAGTTCTCTGAATTTGGCAAATCTTGTAGAGAACTGCCGAACTGTTGACTCAATAATGTTTACAAACAGCTTTTGAAGACATTTGTGGTCTGTTCTGTCATCTTTTAGATCACTGATGTACCTCTTTAGGTTTGGAAAGTATCTAAATCTCTCATTATCTACATCCCTCTTAAAATCTTTAAGCTTCATTTCAAAAGCTTTTATGTAACAAAACATAACATCAGGTGTCTTACCAGAGCCCTGTAACTTAATATTCAGCTCATTTAAATGTTCACAAAAATCTGCAAAAAACATCAGTTTACAAACCCACACGATGTCAGAAAATTCATGGTATGACACTTGTTGGTCGTTCAAATAGAGCTTTATCTCATCTAAGCATTCAATAAATCATTTCAGAACCAAGCCTCTGCTAAGCCAACGAACATGGTTGTACATTTTCAGTCCTTTATACACAGATTCTACCTCATCCAGTAGAGTTTGAAATTGTCTTTTATTTAAAGGCCGACCACAAATGTAATTAACAACCTTGGTAACTGTTTGCATCACTTCTTGCAGTTCCTTTAGGCCAGATTTTGCACATAAAGCCTCCTCATGTATGATGCAATGGAAGCCAATCAGTGGATGACCAACACTTTTTGCAAACAGATTTACAAATCCTGCCTTCTCACCAGTCATATTTGGGGCACCATCTGTTGTGACGGATACTACTTTTGAAATGTCAATTTGCCAGAGTCAATCTGTGCTTAGGGTAACCTATGCTCTTGCGTGCCAGAGACAAGTCATCGGCGTGCCAAGTTTGGCACGCGTGCCAGAGGTTGCCCACCCCTGCTTTAGACCCTCCCTTCATGACCCTCATGAGCCCTTCATGACCCTTATGAGCCCTCATGAGGGCTTCATGAGCCCTCCCTTCATGACCCTCATGAGGGCTTCATGAGCCCTCCCTTCATGACCCTCATGAGGACTTCATGAGCCCTCCCTTCATGACCCTCATGAGGGCTTCATGAGCCCTCCCTTCATGACCCTCATGAGGGCTTCATGAGCCCTCCCTTCATGACCCTCATGAGCTCCAAAAAAGACTGCACCTACTGATCTGTAAGCTTCTGGAGCTACCATCTGGCAGTGGGCAGTTGCTATCAGAAGGTGAATGATCTAATTACTGGGTATCTCATATTTTAGAGGTGTTAAGATTTGCCCTGATGTTGCCTGTTTTGTTTCATTTCCTTTTTAGTGGCTTATTTCTCAGTTAGAGTTGATCATGAATACCCTGCTTTTTACACCTGTGCGTAGGGCCAGGTTTTGATCTCTGTTCTCCAGTAGGCCATGAATGATTCACAAGGGCCAGGTGTGACTTGAGATGTGTGGAGCTAACCAGGTGGTTAGCAACAGAGACCCACTAAGCACTCAACAGAAAGAGGCATCCAATGCTGTTTTTTGTTATACATGTCATTGTTTTGGACAAATGAAGTAGAACACAGGCTTGATAGCTGAGTGGACAGCACTTCGGATTCATAGCATGAGGTTCTGGATTTGATCCCTGGTGGAGGCGGAAACAAATGGGCAGAATTTCTTTCACCCTGATGCCTCTGTTACCTAGCAGTAAATAAGTACCTGGGAGATAGACAGCTGCTACGAGCTGCTTCCTGGGGGTGTTTAACAAAAAGGAGGCCTGGTCGAGGACCAGGCCACGGGGACGCTAAGCTCCGAAATCATCTCAAGATAACCTCAAGATAACCTCTCAGGTGCAGATTTTTTTGTACAGTATAGGCACATTATTTCTTTGCATCTTGTTCAGGTTCTATGATATAAAAGTCTCTTAAGTTTTAGGTGAGCTATACTCAAAGCCACGATTCCTAAAAAGATTCATTGTATGGACTTAACTTCTTCTACTGAGGGTCCAGGATGGAGTGAAATATCACTTTCATTTCATTTCATGTGTGGGTTACATTAATTGTTTCAGCCACATTACTAGTATTGTGAAATTTTCTGTATCTGAACCAGGTTTATTTTGAAGGGTAGATAACCCTACAGAAATGGGTAATCAGAATTGAAAATTTAGATGTTGCCATATATTTTATGCTATATGTGTACTGTACACTATTGCTTTTTCATGTGGTTTCCAGTGAGCATACTGAACAATACTTAAGCTTTATATATTAACCAAACACAAAACTTTCAGCGGTGTGGGCACCAACAGCGCTTCTCCTCTTCGGCACCTGATCAGTCAAATGACGATGAGACCCTGGCTCCTGATAGAAAATTTTCCTTTGATGCAGCATCACTAGCAGCTAGGGGGTAGGTTTGTTTACTATATGTAATTAACCTTTAAACACTCCAACTAATTAAATGTTCTACCTAGTGGTGTGTATGATGACAAATAGTTCACCAATCTAATGTAAACAAAAATGTATTTGACAATTCCAGCACAGGAGAGAATTGCAAATAGTCATTGGATCCATTTAATGGTTTAGTATCTATGGTGAGTGAATTCTTATTTTTTGTGCTTAATTTTAGTCATTTGCCCTGCAGGCATTTTGAGAATTTTACTATATTGATTTGAGATTTGAAACGTTGCTTTGATCCTAAAAAGCAGCTCCCTTTTTAAGTCTGCTTAACTGAGCTAAACTTTCTATACACACATCCTAATAGCTGGGGAATGTTTGGAAAATTTGGAAACCACGGAGACCAACCAGTCTCCGTGGTGTAGTGGTAAGACACTCACCTGGCGTTCCGCGAGCGCTTTGTCATGGGTTCGTATCCTGGCCGGGGAGGATTTACTGGGCGCAAATCCTTAACTGTAGCCTCTGTTTAACTCAACAGTAAAATGGGTACTTGGTTGTAAAAACAGTTCTTCGTGGCAGGGATCGTATTCCAGGGACCTGCCCAAAACGCTACGCGTACTAGTGGCTGTACAAGAATGTAACAACTCTTGTATATATCTCAAAAAAAAAAAAAATAGTTTTTATTTAAATATTATCTTTAGGAAGCTTTTTCAGTTGTTGGTGTTTCTGCAGTTTTATAAATATCTCGAGGGATTTGAGAAAATCATTACGTAATTAGCTACGTATTTACAATACGCATGTTTTTATAGTGTAAAGTTCATCATGGTACCAAAAATCAAGCATTGTATCTAATGAAATGCATCTTTTTGGTGGGTAATTGGTAGCTCCTTGGTGCTAGCTACTTGGATAACTCCACCCAATTCAATTCATGTCCAGGGTCTTGTGACTCATTTGATGCCTACTGGGAATCAGAAGCTAAATCTTGGCCTCCCTCTAAAGAGGCACAAGGAGCAGGGGTACTTAAGTCACCCTAACCAAGAAAGGGCCACCAGAAATGTGGGTAACCCAAAATATACAAACAGCAAGGTAAACAAAGCATCGAAAATGAGACAACAATAAAGCCCCTGAGATGACCGAACCACCCAATTGTGAAGCAGTTTTCTCATTACTTCCACCCTTAGTTGCAAAAGGCCACCAACAGGGGGCACCACAGGAGCTCCATGCCAGCAATGAGTAAGTCCAGAGCCAATATACCATGAACTAATGCACCTGATAGGGGAAGGGAATCAGAGAGCCACTGGGACCCTATCAGAAAGAGGCATTTCATTATTCATTGACATTGGTTTTCAGGAGGAAACTCTTGGTGGCTCCCTAAAGCTACCTCACAACAATGCAGATGGAAATCATGGGACTAGCCAGGGAAGTAGGAAATTGAAAATGACACAGATGAGAATGAGACAACAGGATGGGAACCAGACCCAGAGTTATAAAAGCCTGAGAGAGACTAGGAGACATTAACCAGGTTGTGAGCGGCCAGGACTGTCTGAACTAAAAAAAAAAAAAAAAAAAGAGCCTAAATAACAGCTCATGACATATTAATGAACACAGTTGCCAAAGCCACAAACTTGTGAACATCATGGGCCCAAGGTTAGACCTTGGGATGGCCAAAGTTAGGAATACTGTGGACAAACTGGGATAAGATAGGCTTGGAATAGGGAACCTAGGAAACTGGAGTTAGTGGTGTGCAGGAAGTGATAAACTGCCACAACCAGACAAAACAAATAGACCACCTCAAGCCAGACAAACCAAACATCAGTCAACAAAGGACCCTGCAGAAGCCATCTCATCCTTTGCCAGACAAGAATTTGAAAGCTGCAAATGCCAAAACTGTCCACCAGGGTCGAAAAAACAGTACCCACAATGACAGCGGAGAGCACAAAGCTCTTCAGTCGGACACTCAGAGGCAAGAGCTAAAAAAACAGTGCCATTAGAAAAGGCAACCTCGAACTGAGAAGAGGAAAAACACCAACACCTGAACGAGAGACCAAGATGGCTCAGAAGGAGCATGAGCTGGCTGGAGGTGAAAGAAATCTCAAGACAACTTGCAAAACAACGTGAAGAAGACATTGATGTCACACACTAACAACATCTGTTTTGCCAAATGCAAGTGATAAGAGTATGAGGCATAAGATGCTGATTAACAAACAACCACAAGAAAAAACAAAGCCACTGGAACAGACACAGAAGAAATATAATGAGACAAAAAAGGTGAAAGGATCACCAGGAAACTTCATTCTGTTGCCACAGGTGGGACACCATTCGTGTGGTACACCATACAAATGGTAGTGTGCTTGCATCAGAAACTTCAGACATTTAGATCAGCAGAGACGGTTGAACCAGCAAGATACCTTATTAGGCTGATTTGCTGAAGGAGGTGGAGCAATAGAAAAATGTCTGGGCTCGTGCTTCTGTAACCCTTTCCACTACCGCCCACAAGATGGGTATGGGGTGCATAATAAATTAACTAAACTAACTCAGACACTGGAGCAGTAGAGCCAGAAAGTAAGGCTGAGCTGGCCACCAAGGAACCAGAAGGATCACCTTGCCTGAATACTTCACCAACCTGGACAACACACACACCAACAAACGAACAGGAGGTAATTGATAGATGAACCATTTCCTCAGGAAACAGGAGAGGCAAAAAGGAGCAGGTGGACAAAAGGACTAAAGACCAAGCAGAATCTAAAGACTGGGTCAGCACTGCCCTCGGACACTTAAGACGGGCCAAGTAAAAGGTGGCCACCATCATCTGGTGGGGGTCCATAGAATTACCCAAATCTATCCAAAATCCTCCCAAATCTGCCCAAATCCTGCTAGCATTACGTAAGTAATGAAGAAATATGGTATATTTACTATAATGTTGGTACTGAATGCAGAACATAATCAAACTTATTTATACTCTGAAATAATCTAATTTCGTTATGAAATTAGAAGTAAATATGTAGCAGGTGACGCCATAGGAAGTCGAGGGTCCAAGCAACAATGTTGTGGAGCAACTTATCCAAGATATATGGTCGCCTGGAGAGTGTTTGCTGCCATGTCAGCCTCCTGTACACAGTGATCCAGTCATCACATATCTTGGCTCAAATTGTTGCAAATTTAATTGATTAATTGCCGCAAATTTAATTGGTAGTGCTGTGAACTGCAGGGGCATGTACTACCCATAGATGCTGTGTCAGTACTGAGGTCTTCACACCTAGGAGGGGTGCCCACAAACTTTTTCTAAAATGGTGTCTGCTTACTGGAGATCTATGGAAGATGATGCAAGCCCAGTGTATCCACAGGAGTTTTAAATGTTAAGCTAGACATAAAAGTGTCTTTGATTGCTGTGTACACCACCAATGAAGCAACCCTAATCGTTATGTGCAGCTTCATGGTTACTCCACAACCTACATATACAGAGGCTGGCCTCTCAAAAACAGCTAGCCAAATTTGCCAGAGAAGGAATATAACTCCAGCCAGGGGCAACATCAGCTAACACCTAAAGATGATCACTGTAGGTATGTGCAGTTATAAGTGAACATTTAAGAGTCCACACTGGAAGTGTGAGGCATAAAAATACACTCACGATAGAGTTAATACTAAAGTATAGAATAATACGTAAGAAAATACGTCCCTGGAGGACGTAAACAGATTCAACTGCGGCCAAAGGTGACCCAAAGAGCACTCAGACAGGAAGAGAAGCATAACAGCAAATGTCATAGATGTAAATACTGTACCTAGCAAAATGTCTGAAGTTCATGGCTAGTGGATGGAGGAGAAAAGTGCATAGTCCCACTGGTGGTGTAGTGGTGGCACTAAGAGAGAGCTGTTTCACAAAGCAGTGATTCATCTTGGGGCTTTACATTCTCATTAATTATGCTTTGTTTACCTTCCTGTTTGTATGTTATAGTTCACCCACTTTTCTGGTGGCCTTTCTTTGGATAGGGTGATCGACGATCCCCTGCTTCTTGTGCCTCTGGCCCTTGATAGGATTACAACGACACTCACAGGCCTGGCATGAATTGAACTGGGCTAAGCTATTCAGAAAGCTAGCACGAAAGAAGCCACCAATAGGAACCCCTTCTAGAAAAAGGGAAAGTAATTCACACAAAATACAAATAATGATGCAAGGATAAAAAGTATTAACACAAAACACAATTAAAAAACATACACTTAATCTGTGTGCCATGGTCCTTTTGTAACTTCCTGTAGTCATCCTTTTTTTTTTTTACATTCTTCATCAGCTTTGTGTCATCTGCAAGCATTGATATATGTGTGAGCTCACTCCCTCAGGTAGGTCATTCACATAAATTACAAACAGCAAGAATCACAGGACTCTGGGGCCAGATTCATTTACAGTAGCAGTTACGCAAGTACTTATGAACGAGTACATCTTTCCTCAATATTTGACGGCTTTGGTTACATTTATTAAACAGTTTACAAGAATGAAAACTTCCCAATAGACTGTTGTTAGTGTATAAACAGCCTCCTGGTGCTTCGGAGCTTATTAACTGTTAAATAATTGTAATCAAAGCTGCCAAAGATTGAGAAAAGATGTACAGGTTCGTAAGTGCTTATGTAACTGCTTCGTGAATCTGGCCCCTGCTGTTTTACCCACAGCCTTGTGGGACCCTACATTTTACCATTCCTCCAGCTTGAAACTACCTCTCTTACTGTGACTCTTTGTTTTCTGTTCTTCAGGTACTCCCTTACCTAGTTCAGTGTTTTCCCAGTTATACCAGCCTGCTTCTCCATCTAGTCTTTCACGAGGAAGTGTCAAATGTTTTTTGATAATCTAGGAAAATACAGTCTACCAGGGCCTTCTTTTTCCTTCCTTATTATAGTAACCCCCACCAGAGAACTCAGTCAAGTTTGTTAGGCATGACTTTCCCTTTCTAAATCCATGCTGGCCTTTTGTTACATAGCTGGTCCTCTCCAGATGCTCCATCATTCTCCACTTTACCCTTTACATGGAATACTTGTCATTGACACTGGTGTGCAGTTTACTGCCTTATGTCTATTGCCCCTGTTTTTGAATATTGGGACCATGTTTACCTTTTCTGGAGGGAGCCCCTATGGCTCACCCAGAGCTATCCAGGCTGGTAAGGATATCCCTAACTTTTGGCATCAGTCGATGTGGGTGGAGTTCTAGGCCTACCGGGGACCACAGCCAGAACCTGGCCCCCTCAGAGAGGCACGAAAAGCAATGGCCTATAGAAATGCTCATGTGATTTTGGAGCATTCTTTATCTGCCATCAACCGAGACAAGCACCCAGAAAGGTAAGCGCCCCAAAACAAATCCCTATTCTGGTAAAACACCAAAAATAGAGAAACGAGTGGACAGAACTCCCCAAATGAAAACGAGCAAACAAGCATGATGTCACACGAGCCGCGCCGCACGTCTTCGCAGCTCCCCCCTTCCCGGGAGGGGAAAGGGGGAGCCCTAGACCCCCGCGCCGGCGATCTACACCCCAGTTCTTCGGCTGGTGGGATATGGTAAAGTCGTGTGGCTCTAGCACCGTATTCTTGTGCTATATTGTCCCCTGTTTCAGTACTGCTCTTACGGATGCATGCGAGCTAGGAGTTCAAGGTACTCGGGCTGCATGTGCTTAGGGTCATCTTCCCTGAATGCCCTGTAAGTACCGCCCTTGGGGCTTTTTGAGTTCTCTTTCACAGGTCACCTTGGGTTTACCTCTGTTGGTCTTTTGCTGCTCGGTGATCGACCACTCCGAGTGTTTTGGGGGGTTTTCTCCTTTGTTTACCTTGGGGTAAGTGATAGTTATTGCACTGGTAGGGGCACGGAGTACTGCATAGCTGGTTTTCACCTATAACAGTGGCCAGCTCTGTTCCCTCTGGGTATGCTGTCCTCTAGCAAGGTTTTTCTTTTCTTTTTGCCTTGGTGTTCCTTCCCCCTTAAATGCTAGGGTTTGCTTTTGTTTGGTGGTTCCCCCTGCTTTGCTCTCGTGAGTGGACATGTCTCAGGGGTGCAGCTTTAGCAGTGTTGATTGGTATCTTAGGCACCGGTTAGCAGTACCCTGCCTGGGATTACCCTTAGCAAACCCAGTCTAGGGGCCCTGGGAAACTCTGTAGGGGAACTTAGGTCCGATGTATGCAACCCCTGAGTCCCCTCTCGCCTTGTACTAGTTTGAGGGTTGCTTTGTCTCATTGTCTCAGGGCAACGCTCATTGTTTTTGCCTCCGTCATGCTGCCTGTTGGGACGGTGACACATTCGGTTGGTGTGTTCATCGAGCGAGGGGGTTTGACTCTCGTGGCCATTCATGTCCGGGGAGTGTCCAACGCCCTGGCAGATGACCTGTCCCGGTTCGTTCCCCCTTTCCATGGAGTGGACGGTCGACACTGACTCGTTCAGTTGGCTCTGCTGGATGTTCGGGCGCCCAGAGGTGGACTTCTTCGGGCCGGCTAGGTTGAGGCATCTTCCCATATGTGTGGTGCCCTTCCCTGACCGCGAGGCCATCGGGATCAACGCCTTCCAGCAGGACTGGTCGAGGTGGGGGGTTCCTGTACTTCTTTCTCCCGGTTCAGCTGTTGCTCCAGGTCCTGGTTCGCTTGGAGACTTACCAGGGGCAAGTAGTCCTCTTGGCCCCGTGGTGGCCGGCCTAGCTGTGGTTTCAAGCGCTGGTTGCCCGGTGTCCGAACCTGGAGGTTTTTCCGTGGCTCTGCCTCTTTCAACAGATCGGCCCAGTCCGTTATGAGACTGGTTCACTCTTCTCCTCGAGTCTTTACGCTTGGTATTTTTGACTCAAGTTTATCACCATCTATATGGTGATCAGGTGGCTTCGTTGGTGGTGTACTACCTGTGAGCTTCATCTCTGCGGCAGAAATGAAGTTTCTTGGCGGTCCTTCCATTTCTTTTTGACTCTTCGTCGTTGTACAGTACTTCGCTTTTGGTTCGGGTGGTGTTGTCCTTTCTCTCGTGGTTGTTCCAGGACCATCATCTTATGCTCAATACTGTCGCCTTGTATCGTGCGGCGCTGGCGGAGCCGCTGCAGCTTGCTTTCGGTACAGATGTCACTTCTGTGTTGTTTCGCAAGCTGTCTCGTGTGTTGTTTCACCTCCGGCCTGCTCATGCACCGCCTGAGCCATCCTGGTCTTTGGACAGAGTGCTCTCCTACCTCTCTTCTCCTTGATTTGTTGTAGCCCCTTTGGTTCAGGATTGTTTTTCTAAGGCTCTTTTTTTTCCTGTTGGCATTGGCCTCTGGGGGTCGGGTTGCAGAGTTCCATGCTCGTCTCCGGCGAAGGTTTCTGCTCTTTTGATCATGGTGATAGGTTTGTTCAGTTGGGAGCCCTAGGAGCTCCCTGGAGCTCCCCTAGGGCCCCCCCCCCCCTAGCCCTGAAACGCCATTTACTGGGTGAGCCCCGGAGGGTCCCCGGCAACCCTCCCTCCCTCCGGTTGGCAGTTTTTCGTGTATTTTGATATCTAGCTTCAGAACTGGGGGTGTGGATCGCCGGCGCGGGGGTCTGGAGCTCCCCTTTCTCCCGGGAAGGGGGTAGCTGCATGGATGTGGGGCGCGGCTCATGTGACATCATGCTTGTTTGCTCGTTTTCATTTGGAGAGTTCTGTCCACTCGTTTGCCCATTTTCGTCGTTTTTACCAGAATAGGGGTTTGTTTTGGAGCACTTACCTTTCTGGGTGCCTGTCCTGGTCGATGGCAGATACAGAATGCTCCAAAATCACATGTGCATTTCTGTAGGCCATTGCTCCTCGTGCCTCTCTGAGGGGGCCAGGTTCTGGCCGTGGTCCCCGGTAGGCCTAGAACCCCATTCACAATGACTGATGCGAAAAGTTAGGGATATCCTTATCAGCCTAGATAGCTCTGGGGAGCCTCCGGGACTCACCCAGAAAATGGTGTTTCATTACATTGGACACTGTTTTTTTTTTAGAATTATGGGAGATTTCCTTGTCAAACATTTGATTAAAAGTTTTAGATAATAGGTGACAAAGTTCTTTTGCAACTTCCTTCAACATCCAAGGTGAGGTTAAGTCTGGTCTCATTGATTTTATGACATCTATTTACACCGTGTGTCTATATATATATTTTTTAACCTCTGCTACAGTGACCAAAATATCACCCATTGTTTCTTCCAGCCATATTTTCTGTGAGAATTCCCTTTGTCTCCTCAATTCAAGTACATGGTCTCTCACTGTTGTTTCTCTTTATATGATAATAGGACAGCTTGGTCCTTAGCTTGAAAAATGCCAGTTTAAAATTTCCCTTCAGCTTCTGCTCAGCTTCTCAGCTCAAGTGTGACTTGGGTGTATTGAGTGACTACCTCACTATCATTGGTGAGAGGTGGTCACAGTACTGTGTGTGCTTAGGGGTCATCTTGAGAGACATGGGTTCGAATTCTGGTCAGGTCATTTAGAGTTCTTAGTGATATATATATATTTATTTATTTGTTTACAAGATTACAAGATCTTCCAGTTTCATACACATCATGTGTACACATCCTAAAAATTTTGAATTTTGACTTGTCTTCAGTTCAATATAAATGTAGCTTACAATAGTGTATTTTGTGTTATAGGTACCTTCGCAGTCAAAAGCCATATTATCCTGTAAATGGTGTACATAAGCAAGTGTTGGGGATTTGTTCACAGTTGATAAAGAGCTCGAACCCTGACACCCCCTTCAAGGATGCAAGTACCAAGTTCCAGGTGTTGGCGCAGTGTTCCAAAACCTTGAAGCATGCGGTGCCAAACTCTCTCATGCACAAAATTACTAATATCAGTAAGTTTCTTAACTCTTGTGTAACCAAACATTAACAATTTTGAATATACTGTAAATTAATATTATTTATATTATATTTTGGTATATAGTTGGCTTATGATAGGTTAGGTAAGTATTTAACCCTTCCTTAGGCAATGCTATCGACCTCTAAGCCATATTTATGCATGAGAGATCAAGCAAAATGTTACATCATACTTGGGACATCATTCAGTAATCTTAAGGTATTATAACCTATACTGTCCTCACCAGGGGCAGATTATGTGTGTTTTCCTAATACTGTTGTTAATTCAGAATGGGTTAATGATGTGGCAGCACGATGTGCACCATTATCAAAATAAGTCTATCACATGCATTTAATTTATGATAATGATATGTTTGTTGGAAACCTTTTAATGTAAATAAGACTCTCAAATTTGAGATACTCTACGATTAAAGTCAGGCAGTAGCTTTTACCTGTTGGCCACCATCTCTAGTGGCTTTAGGGAGAGGCAGTCATTGATGGCTTGTAAAGGTTTAGGCCTCTCTAGTGGCCTTGTAAGGTAAGGCAGTTATTGATGGAGTGGAAAGGGTTCATCTCTAGTAGTGTTGTTTGTCAGTTATTAGATTAAAACTAATGTCATGACAGAAGTACTGCTGTTGGTGTGTATACTGATAATTAAGATGTTGAATAGAAAATTCATTCTGGAATTATATATTTCTAGTCGCCCTACATACATCAACATTAAACAGTGGAGACATTTTGAATAATTTTTATTCAGAAAATAATCACGTAAATAATGATATGGAACTGGGGTTTTAGACTTGTACCTGCTTGATGGGGTTCTGGGAGTTGTTCTACTCCCCAAGCCCGGCCCAAAGCCCAGCTTGACTTGTGAGAGCTTGGTTCACTAGGCTGTTTCTTGGAGTGGCCCGCAGGCCCACATATCCATAACAGCTCAGTTGGTCTGGCACTCCTTGGAGAAAATTATATACCTGTAGTTTTCTCTTGAATATGTCCACGGTTGTTCTGGCAATATTACTTATACAGTACTCGCTGAGAGGATGTTGAACAACCGTGGACCTCTGATGTTTATACAGTGTTCTCTGATTGCTGATTCTGCCTATGGCACCCCTGCTCTTCATTGGTTCTATTCTGTATTTTCTTCCATATTATTCACTATAGTATGTTGGTATTTTACTGTGTAGATTTGGGACCTTGCCCTTCCAGTATTTTCCACGTGTATATTATTTTATATCTTTCTCGTCTCCTTTCTAGTGAGTACATCTGGAGGGCTTTGAGACAATCTCAATAATTTATGTGCTTTATCGCGTCTATGTGTGCTGTATATGTTCTCTGTATTCCCTCTATTTCAGCAATTTCTCCTGCTCTGAAGGGGGAAGTGAGCACTGAGCAGTACTCTAGACAGGACAGCACAAGTGATTTGAATAGTACAACCATTGTGATGGGATCCTTGGATTTGAAAGTTCTCGTAATCCATCCTATCATTTTTCTGGCTGACACAATATTTGCTTGGTTATGCTCCCCTACATGTTGGTCATCAGACATCATTATTGACTTGTGTAACAAGGTTTTGGGTAACATGATAGATGTGGGATATCTTGAGTTGGAACAAACATTGGTTATATAAATATACAAGTGGGTGTAATTAGGTGAAAATAAGAGCTTTGCATGGGCCAATAGGACTTTTATAGTCTTCTCTGTTCATTATTCTGATGTCATGGTACAAGTGAATTGCAAACAATTATTTAATAGTAAAGGAAAAGCAGCTATTTATTTTGGAGGTACAGAGGGTGTTATAAATCAACCTGTTCTCCTAATATCACATTTTGACATACACTTTCCCTAAGGCCAAGAACTGATGTACTAAAAATCATAGTGGCTCGCAAAATTGATGCGTCTCATATTTTGTTCGTGGATCCTCGGTTAGGTTAGGTTCATTAAGTACATCAGTTTGGCGATGCTGGAAATCCTCAGAACATCTGTATTTACCTGAGAGCCAACTAACACAAGTGGCCTCGACGAGGACAGGAAGCCGGGGGCATGTCAAAGGTCCCCTCATCTGCCTTAATGTATAAATAGTCTGTAAAACGTTAAATGTATGCACAATATTTTTTTTTATGAATATTGCTGAGGGAACCATACTTTTTGCATTATTAATATTTTGTAGTACAGTACATAATTCATGCGTAGTTAAACACATTTTGGCAGATGAATTGTTGATATTCCATAAAGCTGTACTTTGTTTAATGAGTGTGAATATTTATCTTCCGCAGGAGAGTTGGTAACCTTCTATGAAACCCCAGTGAACACATCTGTTCCACTTGACATGATGAAGGACATGGACCTACCCAAAAATCTGCACGTGATATATAAATATAACAGGTTCCATCCAGGTATGATGCATACTCAATTGTTTTAGTCATAATTCTCTGTATGGGTCATACTTGACCATTTTGAATAATTGTAAAAATAAAATTATCTGATCATAGCTGAGAAAAAGTGAAATTGATAGGAAAGTAAACAGTATACTGTAAATACATTTTGGGTGTTGAGGATGAGTCTCAGTAATGTGGCTGAAGATATTATTGTCAATATGAAGACATTGTGACACAACCAACAAATCTGAAAAGGAAGAATTGGGGATGTTACTGTCTGTCCCAGACCATTATCAAGTCATGTCTAATTTTGGGTGTCTAAATTTGGATGCTTCTAGGATGATCTTTAATATTTCTTTCCCAGTATCTTTCCGAGTCACTTGTCCCTTGTTTTGCCTAACTTTCTGGGTACCTTACATGACAGAGGGCCTGATGGCTGAGTGGACAGCGCTCTGGATTCATAGTCCTAAGGTTCTAGGTTTGATCCCCGGCAGAGGCGGAAACAAATGGGCAGAGTTTCTTTCATCCTGATGCCCTGTTCACCTAGCAGTAAATATGTAATTGGTAGTTGGACAGCTGCTACGGGCTGCTTCCTGGGGATGTGTAACAGAAAGGAGGCCTAGTCGAGGACCGGGCCGTGGGGACGCTAAGCCCCGAAAACATCTCTTGATTACCTCAAGAAGGTAACCTTCTCTGATGGTGGCAATTATGATTAACTTTAAATGTAAAATGTTTATAGGTCACTGCTCTTTTGCCTCTCCGAGGAGGCCAGGTTCTGACTCGTGGTCTCCAGTAAGCCAACAGAACTCCGCGACTGATGGCACGTAGTAGTATAGCACTAGATCAGTGATAGTAGTAGCTTCAGTGAGCCTCTGGTGCTCACCCAGAAATTGGCATTTCATTCAATGCTAATTTTTCTCATGCTATGTGGACAAATTTTAGAGTGAAATTTTAATTTTTACCTAAAATTTCATTGACTTCTACCAGCAGAACCAGTCTATAGAGATTTAATCTCATCTGGCATATTTACCACAGTCCCAGCCTTAAAACCTTATTTTCAAATACAGTATATCCAAACCCATATTTGGGTTAACTAAAAACCAACGCAGTGCAAATAGATATGAATCAATGAATTTTGTTTAACCCTTAAGCTGCTAAGGGGTCCTTAACCCTTAAATTGCTCAGCATAAGGACCAGGGAAGTGAAATATATTTGAATTATGTAAAAATTACTTACAAATGTTAAACAAATCTCGAACTTATTGGCTTCAGTGTTGTGAAACTTTTCATCAAAATATTTTTAGTAATTGATTTTAGACGAATTTTTTTTAAAAAGAAGAATGTTTTGTTGCTAAGGAGAACAGCTCCTATTAACTGGAACTAAGGGATAATGCAGTAATAAAGAGATGCAAGCACCTGTCAGACGCACAAAGAAGAAGAATAGTAGTAAGAAGTGTCCACAAAGTGGATATGCAGCTGGTGCCTTTATAACATTGCTGAATAATACATAATAACACATATAATAATGAGTAAGTATGTTAATTTGCTCTATTTTGTTATATATCATATATATACATTGCCCAATGTTAATATCTTACTTTCATCAATGTCCAAAAAATATTTTCTGGGAGGAGCCCCTATTCCTATCCAGGCTGATAGGGATAGTCCTAACTTTTGGCATCAGGTGATGTGGGTGGAGTTCTAGGCCTACCGGGGACGGCGGCCAGAACCTGGCCCCCTCAGTGAGGCACAAGGAGTAATGGCCTATAGAAATGTAAGTGTGATTTTGAAGCATTCTATATATGCCATTGACCGGGACAGGCACCCAGAAAGGTAACCGCCTCAAAGCAAACCCCTATTCTGGTGAAGCCAACGAAAATAACGAAACAAGTGGACAAACTTCCCCAAGGGAAAATGAGCAAACAAGCATGGCGTCACACGATCCGTGCCGGGTGTCTGCACAGCTCCCCCCTCCCCGGGAGGGGAAAGGGGGGAGCCCCAGACCCCCACTCTGGCGATCCACACCTTCAGTTCCTTGGCTGATGGGATAAAGCTTAGTCATTGTGGCTCCAGCTCCAGATTCTCTTTGTGCTGTGCCTAGGTTAAGTACTTCTCTTCGGTGGTGTGCGAGCTGGGAGTAATATTCACAGGTACTCGGGCTGCATACGCTTAGAGCTCCCCTAAGTGCCCTGTACGTACCGCCCTAGGGGCTTGGGGTTTCCTTCCACAAGTCACCTTGGGTCTACCTCTGTTGGTCTTTCACTGCTTGGCGATTGACTGCCTCGAGTGTTTTGGGGGATTCCTCCCTTGTTTGTCTTGGGGTAAGTGGTAGTTTTTGCACTGGTAGGGGCACGGGGTACTGCATAGCTAGTTTTCACCTATAACAGCGGCCTGCTCTGTTCCTCGTTGTACTCTTGCGAGTTTTTTTTTTTTTTTTTTTTTTTTTTTTTGCCTGGCAGGGGGGGTCTGCCTTGGTGTCCCTCCCCCCTTTATATTAGGGTTGTTTGCATTTGGTGGTACCCCCTGCTTCACCCTCATGTGTGGACACGTCCTGTGGGTTCAGCTTTAGCAGTATTGTTCGGTAGCTTGGGCGCCGGTTAACAGTACCCTGCCTGGGATTACCCTTAGCAGACCCAGTCTAGGAGCCCTGGGAAACCCCGCAGGGCACTCGGGTCAAATGGATGCGACCCCTGCGTCCCCTCTCGCTTTGTGCAAGTTTGAGGGTTGTTCTGTCCCCTTGTTTCAGGGCGACACTCATTGTTTTTGCCTCCGTCATGCTGCCTATTAGGTCGGTGACACATTTGACCCAGAGTTCTGCGAGCTTTGTTGCTTGTATGTGACTCAGTTCACCCAATCTGATGATATTATTCGGGTGCAAGCAGCTCGCGTGTTGCAGGATAGGTTTAGGTTGCTGCAGCGCGCTAGGTTGGTTGTTTCCCCGGATGCCCCGAGGCTGCCCCGTTTTGTGTATAGGGACCCGGTCGGCCGAGCGGACAGCGTGCTGGACTTGTGATCCTGTGGTCCCGGGTTCAATCCTGGGCGCTGGCGAGAAGCAATGGGCAGAGTTTCTTTCACCCTATGCCCCTGTTACCTGGCAGTAAAATAGGTACCTGGGTGTTAGTCAGCTGTCACGGGCTGCTTCCTGGGGGTGGAGGCCTGGTCGAGGACCGGGCCACGGAGACACTAAAAAAAAAAAAAAGCGCCGAAATCGTCTCAACATAACTTCAAGAAGATAACCCGGACTTGGGGGTGTTGGTTGCTTCGACCTTGGTTCCATCCATGCCCCCTCGTTCTTCCCCTGCTGTGGTTCATTCAGGGTCCCCCTTTCCCCTGCTTCCGGCTCCTAAGCATCTGAGGGCATCGGGGTCGGGGCAGGGTTTAGAGGTTTCTGAGACTGGCAGTTTTGGGGGTTGCCCCTTCCAGGGTGGCCACGGAGGCATTCGAGTTGGTTCCTCCAGCTGTAGCTCCGGGGTTTGATCAGTGGGCCCATCCTCTTCCTGTTATTCCGGTTGCCCTGGCTTTTTCTTGTGAGGCCGGGGCTATGGGGGACGCCTCAGCCCCGGGGCTTGATGTGGAGGTTCCCAGGGTTGGGAGGAGCTGACTTGGGGGGCCAGGGCCCAATTGTACCTCCCCTGGGTTTTCCGACCCTCCGAGTGGGGCTTGCTGTTACAAGGAGTGGGGTTTTCCTTTTCCCTCTCTGCGTACGACTTGGATTTGAGTTTGGCTCCTCCTCTGGTTCGGTTCTGTGTCCCTGCAGGTCCTTCGGTTCTGTCCTTCCGGAGGTTTTCACCTTCCCACTTCTCTCCGGATGAGGTGCGGGCAGCCATTGCGGCTTACCTCCTGCGCGACCCAGATTATGCCTCTATAATGGATCCGTCTTTCTTCAGGTTTGGGTCTTCATCTTCATACTGGGTTCATTATGAGGTTCCGGAGTCGTCTGACTAGCGGACTGCCCTTGGTTTTCGCTGGATGCTTGGGACACCTTCTGTCGTACCCGCATGCTTGAGTGGTGTGAGGCGTTGACTGTGGTCCAGGTTTACCTGGGGGCGACTTTGCACACCTTAACACTATCGCTCGCGCCACGCAGACTTTGACATCATGGTGCTAATGATGCGGGCGAGCATGCAGCGACGCCTAAATGTGTATACTCGTTTCAGTTTTCTCACCTTAATTCTCGTGCTACGTCATTAGTTTTGGTTTCATTGTGTTCACAATTAAATTCCCTGCAGATGTATGTGCATATAATGTCCAAAAGCCTGGTGAGACTCCCCACAGCAAAGCCTAAAGTCACCCATAAACGAGCACCAATTTGCACACCACAACCTAATGTGTATACTCGTTCAGTTTGATAGCATCAATTTTCATGTTACATCATTTGTTTTGGTATCAAATTGTTTGCAATATAAAGGCACGCATTTTAAAACTAGTCTCATAATAATAGAGCAATAAATAGAATTTTAACAAATATTTTAATTTTGGATGCTCATCATCAAAATTATATATATCTTTCCAGTGTTCTGACATCAATTTTCATGTTACATCGCTCGTTTTGGTATCAAATTGTTCGCAATACAAAGGCGCGCATTTTAAAACTAGTCCCATAATAATAGCACAATAAATAGAATTTTAACACTTTCACCCGGGCATGACGCAGCATTGCGTCATCCGTTTACTGTCGGTAATGCCGGGGATGACGCAGCATTGCGTCATCCACTTTAAATAATCACCAAAAATAAGGTTTTTATCCGATTTTTGGGGGACTGGTTTTAAAATGTGCGCCAATGTCTTCCCATTTTCTTTGTTGAGCCTCGTGGCCCTCAGGCGGCTTGGCACACGCCGTGGGCCGATTGTTTTCGCTCCACTGTTGTGACCAATGTCGCCTCCCCTCGCATCTCAAACGTGTGAACATTTCGGCTATTTTCCGTGGCTATATTTCTTACTGCGGCTTTAGAAACTATCTACGCTTACTCCACGATGGATAGTGATCATGAACAAGGCCCTTCCAGGAAGAAAATTGCG